CCCAGCCTAACTTTTGCTCTACTGTCACAGTAATTACCCTTGGGGCCCTGTGGCATCCGACCTCGGTGAAAAAGACACGGGGAAAAGAGACGAGGAAAAAAGACGCAGTTTGAGCCCAAAAAGGATGCGACCTGGGAGACCCGAGCTCCCTGTCCATCACACATTCACAGTGTTGTGAATGGCTACAAAGGCCCCCAGACTGAGATTTTGACGTTGCCAAGAGCAAACGCCACATTGCCTTGCCAAGTATTGGGAAGAGGACAAGAAAATCCCACCCACACGTAGAGAAATATCAACAAAACGGCAGCATAAAGGCCACATTCAAGGGTGCACAAAGCCAGAGGCCGGATGGTATATGGCTGAACGGAGTGTATTATGTTGCACTGCAGCCGCAAGGTCCGAAGCAGAGGTGGAAGTTAGGCCTCAGCTTTACATTCCAAGAAAAAGGGGCACACAACTGTGACTCTAGGGGGGAAATACAGTGTTCCTGGGCCTTAATCTATCATTTGGACCGTCATTCTATCCACCGTGAATTGCCAAGTGAAGTAAAGACACATTAAGAAGCTCAATGGGCGCCTTTTGTATCCCATTATCTTCTTGTTCCACGCGCATTGTGGGCAACGTTACGCATCACTACATCCGTAATGTCTTGAAAGGCTGTTTTGAAAAGAAATAGCCGCTCATCGGATTTGCACATCCTTGCACCACGAGGCCTGGAAATTCAAGGCGTTGACTTCCAAACTGGATAAAAAGGCTCGAATTATCAGACAATTGCATGCTAGCTGTTGTCTAGGATTTCTTTGCAAATGTTGTCATTTAATACACACATCTACATTCCTGGACAACCTTTTGGATACGCAGACATTGTGCCAAATAATCTACGAATTTAACAAGTCACTCTACATTTACACAAATAAAGATATGTACAACAATATCTCTTTTTTGCACTTAGTGGTCAGGATTCTTGGGGCATTATCTGGACCTTCTGTCAACAAACAGAACTGAGACTCAAACTCTGTATATATTCATTTGTATGTTGCGTTAGATTTTTTTGATCTCAAAGAACTGAAATAACTTTTCCAATACCAATAAATTAATTATTGCTTTGATGTAAAAGTATATTAAAAAAACATCAGCCCCAGCAACCGTCAATTGTTCAACCTGCTGCCGTCTGGCGAGCGATGCAGATGTTCCAGCTTTCGTACTCCTCAGCGAAGCTCCCGATACCACTAATCCTGTGTGAACGAGGGCTGAGCAATAACAAATTAAAAAGTAGACTATAGGGAAGGAATAAATGTTTTGACTTCATCATGCATTTTTCTTTTAAAATATTATGCCAACAAAGCTTTTTAACGCATACTTTTTTTACATACGTAATCATGAATGCATCCAACGTTTACAAGCAAGTTCTTTGTGTATTTTCTACGGGGGGGGGTTTACATTCATGATTGACCACATGTTTCTCATTAAGTAATTGGATCTAATCATCCTGAAAAAATGCAATGAGGTGAGAAAGGCATTTTGATGTTTGCTAGTCAGATATTGTTTAAGCTGCAGGGAGCAACATGTGGGGGACGTTTACCACGTCAAGACCGAAAGATGCAGGGACCGGTACAATACCTTAACTCCCAGTGTCTTTATTTTTTGGTTCCTCTACATAACACCAAGCCAAATCCAGTGAGCATGATTTGTCCAGTCATGTGAAGAGTGGGTCTATTCAAAGAAGCTTCCTACTTTGAAACAAAATGCGAAATGTCCTCAAGAGGTTAAATTCCTGTGTGCATGGGCACTAAAAGGTAAAATAACAGGGGTTAACTTTGCTGAGGCATCACAATCCTCTCCCGGGTCAAGCACACACTGGGCACCTTTCCACCGAGGAACACACAGAGGGGGTCTTGTTCTGCGGCCCACGTGCGGGTCAGTGCCGGCAGGCCACAGGGAAATGATAGGCCTCCTCACAGACGCCGCACAGAGGGCACCCTGTTTGCCGACAGCTAAGGCATCCACTGGAATGCAATATGGGGCGGCAGGTAACGTTCAGTTCACCGCATACCTTTTTATCGAAAATCTTCAAATCCCAAAAAAGCCCCCGCCTGCCTTCTGACACTTTGGTGGGAATTCAGGTACGTTAGAGGCGGACTTGGCAGGCATCCCACTGAGATGAGCGTTAGTTTCTTAAGGAGTGTAGCTTATGTTGAGTTTGGTCTGCCGGGTACTCGGATCCAAAAAGAGACCTGATCCAACAACGGTTGCTATAGTTCATCATGTGCATCTGTAAACATTGAGCATGATTGTACCTGTGTGTAAAGCCTCTATTTAAACATAACAAACTTTTTTTTGTCTCATTTTAAAAAAAGACATTGTATATTGAGGCAACCTAACAATTGATCCTTTCCCCATGTTACGGGACAAAAGAAAGAAGTAAATTCAAAAAGGTCCTCTGGCATTTTAACATTAAGTTGCTTCTGAAGTCTTCCATGAAAAAAATACATACACAAGCACAATGGTGCTTTAAGTCAAATGCTCACACTGGTAATGCTAATGTCCAGGTGATAAGCGGGCATAATGTTTAATATCTTCACCATCTTAGTTTACTGCGTGTTAGCCGTAGTGTCCACTTATCCGGTTCACGTGTCTAGTATGTTGTAAAGTTACTTTCTACTCACACTACAGCAACCTGTGACATGGGCACTGCAGTGTGGCCCAATTTCATCCCTCCTAATCTGCCAAGTCTCTCAGCTCCAGGATGTACTCTGTGCGTTTACATACCAAGTTAATGGAGAGGCAAATGTGGATTTCATATAAATGACGCAGTGCAACCTGAGTAAACACCTGTGTAAGTTAAGATAACACTGCACAGCTCCACTTCACATTTCGGGTAGGCAGAAAGTAAATATATCCGTCAATTCCCGTGGAAAGTTTCCAACTTTGAATATTCCCGGACTTTTGCAACCATATATATATATATATATATATATATATATATATATATGCCCATGCACTGCCATTATATAACAAATCCTAGATACAAGAAACAAAGCATACATTCTTTCTGGAACGTGTTCGAGACCCCCTCATCTGGTTCAAAGTCTGGGCTGTGTACTTGGGTGTTGCATGAGGGTTTTACTTGCGGGCCGATTGTTATCGCTCTTCAAAGTCCTGCACCATGCGCCTCCCTGAGAGCCGCTGACAGCAGTCTCTTCTTCTTCTGGGACGCAAACCCAAAGCATCACACGTATACAAGGTGAAATTACGTCAGGGAGCTTTTTTTTTGTGCACCTCCAACACATTTGTGTCATTCATGAAAAAAAAGGCAAATCGTCTGAAAAAAAAGGAAGAAATTTGGGCGTGCTTGGCGATGTAAATGAACTCAAGAGTGATCCAGAATTCAGTTTACACTGTGTTTCGCCGCTCCCACCTTCTGAGCTCGGTCATACAGAACAGCAAATGGTAAATGGTTTTAATGGCTTTTAATTCAAAAGAGGTTGTTCTTACTGAGCATGACTGACACTTGGCAGCTTCACTTGAGACTTTTCAACACTTTAGCACCACTTTATTACTTCAACCACAGCTCTGCTGGCTGGAGTCAGGCATTCATTGCTCACAGTTATCCATGCGCCCACAGCCCTGCACCCCTGGGTGCCAGCTGTTTGTGCCACCAGACAACTCAGCATATCTGGGAAAGTGTATCTTTGGTGTTACTTCCCAGCTATGCAGTTTGGTATTGTATTAAGCAAGATTGTGAAATTGCCTGGACAGAATACTCCTCCCACGACCTCCTATCAAAACCGTGGGAACTTAATGAGAGCGTAAAACTGAATCCAGATTTTACAAATGGTGCTGGAACAGAACTTAACTTGGCCGAGCCTCCTGGGAGAGAGAGACCAAGCTTATATATTGACGGGCTCACGTTCAGAATATTACATGCTATTAAACAAGCACAGAGGGAACAAGATGGATGGTGCTGATGAAGGGGTACGCATCCTATAGGACTGCAGGGGTATGTCACACAGAAATACCCCCCCTCCGCTCCTGTAGAACACTACTCTGGGTAAAAGGGCAGCAGGTGGCAGCGCCCCCGGTTCTGCACTCTGTGATTCACATTACAGCTGTTTCCCCAGCTGGACTTAGTGTGAAAATGTGACAATTGGCATTACGACCAAATCAAAACTGGAGGAGTAGAGGTGGCGGTGGAAGTGATGTTAATACATGTAACGCTTGAAGACCTTTTAAAAAATGGTGTGAAATGTAACTTTGATGGGAATCACATAAACACAAGCCTTTTTTACTTTTAAGAAGAAACTAAATAACCCCGACTGTATTACTGTGAGAGGGTCAGACAGAGAAATCAGAACAATCCACAGGTCTGAAATAAGATGATCTCCCTGAGACAACGATCAAACTAAATTGTTCAAATGTAACAAAACAACTGAAGGAACACGGGCACACCAGCGGAGGGGTTAGTTCCATGGTCACGGCTGATGATCCCTGTGAGTACTACACTTGCACTTCCACAGAGTGGCCCCGGGCAGGGCCCCCAGTGAATGGTTCACCTCAGAGACTCACAGCAGCCCAGCCTGAATGTCTGACGTCACCGCAGGTATTAGACCGCAGCTACAGGCCACCTGGACTGATGGGCGGTGAACGAACGGCTTCTTATGTAACAATCACCGGTCATATTCTGGTCCCCCACGTGGGAGACGCTGCTGCTGATAGTGAGCGTGTACGTGCTTCTTTTTTTTAACAGGACTCAATAAAATCTTTACGTTGCGTTTGTTCTTTTTTGTCGGACGACCAAAGGTCAAACGTTCTTATCTGAAACCAAGTCCGACACCAAGATAGTAAGTCGGGTGATAAAGCATGTATCGGCATGCGAAATATAAATGTGCGAAAACAACCTGATTAAACACGTAGTGAGCCCCCCTCAGGGCGCACGAGCCCCCCTGTTCGGCCCCGTGTTGTTTTCACGCCCACTCGTGTCCGCGCGCAGTGGTTCTCACCTCTTTCGCTCGCTCGTTCTTATTCTTCGTCTTCTTCTCATCCTCACTCTCCCCATGCTGGCAACCAGGCATTTGCAGAAAGTCCTCTTCACAGCAGATGAAGCTCACGGTGCATCCCATCCGAGCGAACCCAGCGCGCGCACCGCCTCACCTCCCGCGCTCACTGGCTGCCACTTTATTCACGCGACAGAGACGTGCAGGCGCCCTGTCATCGCTGTGACGTCAGGGGAGCGTTACAAAGGACGTTTAGAGTCTTTCTTCTTCTCAACAAGTTGTGATGAGCTCCCCCCGCCTTCGAGTTCAGCCACTGGATGACTTCCCTCCCCAGATAGAGCGAGGAGACCAACAGGTAGCCCTCCTCTCTCTCTCTCTCTCTCTCTCTCTCTCTCTCTCTCTCACCTTTGCGCTTGTGTTTTCATATTGCGTTGTGATTGGATGTTGAGGCTGTCAATCAAAACAAGAAGGTGTCGACACATGGGCGCACATGTTTTAATTATTTGGTGTCGGACAGTGTGGAAGAAAACAGCTGGTGTCCAGATGTGGGCTGAGGTAATGGATGATTCACCAAACAACTGGACTGCACGCGCTCCGGGGATCCACGTGCTCTGAGCAGCTTTGAAGCTCTTGGCTTGGTTTCCTTTCAGGCAATCATGCTGCCCCCTGCTGAGTCAAATGCGATGCTATTGGTTTCACATTGGAAGTGGAAGCATTCATTGAAAATCGTACTTAAAAGGGTTAGTTGTAAAGTAAAAATACTTGCTCTGCAGGACGTATGCAACTTGCTAGATGTGAGGGGGTTTGAAACTGTCTCTGGAACTGCTCATGATACGTGCACCTGAACCCTGAAAGTTTGAATAGGAGACCCAACAAAACCCGGCATTGAAATTTCTAAGCTGGTCAATAGTATTAATGTAAAATAGTAATGTGAACAGTAACCAGTAACCTTATCTTACTTGATATGCACACAAATATTTCAGAAAAAAGGCAAATAAAAATTGTTTGTTATTTATATATCAGAATCAAGTTTATGTTTTGTGTTTGCTGCCAAAGTACCGCAAAAGTAAATAAACATGAATAGAAAACTCAATGAAAGCTGTGACCAGTGTGTAAGCAAATTAAAAATATGGTTTTAAGCTCGCAGTGCCTCGTCGGGTTTGTTTCCTGTTTTATTTTGTAGTTTTCTGCCTCTTGTGTCGCTAACTTCACGTCCTACCTTGTCCTGTGATTTCTGCCGTGTCTGATTGTTTCCACCTGTGTCCAATCACCTGCACCTTCCCAGTGTATTTAAATCCTTTTGTCCTTTGTCATGTCATACTGAATGTTCCAGCCTGAGTAGTCCTGGTTCCCGTCTGTGTTTTTGACACAGAAACCATTTCAGTTTCACAGATTTGGCATTAAAAACATCCAATTTGTTGTTACATAGTTTTCTTTATTTAAGTGCAGCAATGTGCGCATTAGTAATGAATACAGAAGATACATGGCTTTATTGTGCACATTTTGCATATTGAATTTGCTATGACAATTAATATACAATTTCTGTATATTTAAATTATTCTTACCTCCGTGGTAAAAGTGCTATTTATGTTGGCATTAATTATGAAATCTAGAAATGCAGCGCCTACTTTGATTTAAAATGACGTAACAGGTGCAAGGCAAGAAACAGAAAAATGTTGATAACATAATATCATTTTACTCTTTCTGTTCTCATCAGCCAAAAGTTTCTAAGAAAGTGTGTCCAAACTTTTTAATGGAACATTATATTATCTACATAACCATACTCATTCTCAGAAAGCACGATGTTCCTCTATACATTCTGCAGGATCCGGTCCGTGTGAATAATGGGCCACTTGTTAGACATTAAATATTGGATATCACAGGCAGACATTCCAGACCTTCAAGACCTCACTGGTTTGAAAGTTGCTTCAAAATATTGACGGGCAAGTAACATTGCACATTTTTTGGGAAAATTACAAAAAGGAAATACATTTTTGTATAAAATAGTAATACGAATTTTAGATTGACTTGCATTTGCTATACCAAAAGTTCCACACCTGCCTCGTTCTCCTCATACATTAAAAAAAGTAATTCGCAACATTTTCATTTGAAGAAATCTGCTAAAAGAAAATCAAGCTGCGTTTCCTCCTCGCTCCACAAAGTGTAGGCTCACTGGTTTGTCCGGTATCAGAACAGCGCGGTTGATGCATTTCAACTCTCCCATATTCGGGTCTGGTTTGATCTCAAACTGCCTTATAACCTGAAAAGGAAAAAATATGATGTTATTGAAGTAATGTCATTATTAGCCCTGACTGAGTATGGCCATACCAACACGAGCCTTTTGGTTGGCTATGTTGTGCCTCCTCTCAGAGCAGTGTTTTACTGTAGTCTGAGGTTTTTCCCAATTGTCACTCACCCGAAACAGAACCAGATACATCTCAAGCTCGGCAATCCGGCGACCGACACAGCCTCTCACGCCGAAGCCAAAAGGGATGGAGGCGAAGGCGTTTGGCCTCTCGCGGCCGTCCCGGAGCCATCTCTCTGGCCTGAACGTGAACGGCTCTGGGAATGTGTCCTCGTCATGACTTATAGCGTAGTGACAAAAGGTGAAAGTGGTCTGGGGAAACACAGCCGAGAGATGAAACGCTGATCTTTGCAATATACATTGGTATGACAAAAGTACACACCAAACCAGTACAACAAGTCCAGTGATGGTTGAAAAAGAGAAAAAAAGCACACCCACTTTCTTTGGGAATTGATATCCACCAATGACAACATCCTTTTCTGCGATGATTCTGGCGTTAATCGGAACCACAGGGTACATTCTGGGGAACAAGAAGAACATTTGATTTGGTTGGGGCTCTTTTTTTGTTGGTGACTGATGTAGGAAAAGCAAGCGATGTATAAACAGAAGACAAGGTGGGACATCTTTCCATTTAGGAAACGAGTGTGCCCTTAAATCTACAGCCGTGCTTTGACATTGCTGATGGCCTCTGTGGAAGTTGAACACCACAACCCTCTATAACCAGCCTCACCTCAGGGCCTCCTTAATAACAGCTCTTAAATACTGCATCCGCGTGGCCTCGGCAGCGGAGGGGCTCCGGTCGGCCGGCACCGACGTGGACACTTCTTCGTAAAGTCTGTCCTGCGCTTCAGGGTACTTGGACAGCAGGTGCAAAGTCCATGTGAGGGTGTTGGAGGTCTTTAAAGCATAGACACGTCATTAAGCAAACAGGCAGACGGATGCATACCATACATGCCTAGAATGGCATATTGAGTGTACTTGCACTGCGCTTTGCTGGTCATCGTCATGCAGACAGTAGCTACCGCTCACATTCACACACCGTAGTGTTAGATACGAGAGCAATGTGGGAGTTGAGTGTCCCGATCAAGCACACATCAACATGGACTCGATCTGTAGCCAATCTGTTGATGGAGGAACGACCCTGCGCTCCGCTGAGCCAAAGTTGCCCTGCGAAATGTGGAATTGCGGTGGCGGTCGAGCTTATATTTTAACATAAACCAGGAACAGCATCAGAGGTATTCAAAATGAGTCGCCGTATTCTACAGCCATCAATCTAGGACTATTGGTTTTGGCAGTGGAAATAGAAGAAGGCCCACATAACATGTCATTTCTGAAACAAAATTTGTAACTATTAGTAGTAAAACTTTTAATAATTCAAAGTAAAAGTCCTGTAATAAAAGGTTTACGTGACGGGTGAAAGAGAAGCAAAGTAGTAGTTAGTTACTTAAGGTCCATTCAAGGTGGAGCTTTCAATTCTAAAATGATGAAGGCTGAATATTTATCCTGATCATTGGAGCGGAGGAAACACATTATATTCTGGCACATGTTCTGTTTTTTTCTTACAAATTCTTACTAAAGTAAATGAATAAAAAAATAGGAAGAAGGCCCAAAAGTCAAACATGTTAGAGTATCACATTCACCGTGTCCACTCCAGCTAATAGAAGTTCAGCGATGCTGCCATAAACGTCTTTTGTGCTCATCTGAGTGTTTGAGAGGAGGTATGTTAGGTATTCGCCCTCCACGTTCTGGTCGTTGTCCAAACGCTGCTGAATGACCTCCATCTTCTTGTCAATCAACCCTTTAGCTAAAGTAAGTGCAGAAATGAAAGTGCATTTTAGTATTCTCAAAAAGTAACTCTTGAACCGTTTCTACTTGATTTTACAATGTTTCCTTCTTTGGCTATTTTAACAATATAATAATAACAACCATATGTACTGTTTACATTGGCTTCTGAGCAAGGCAACAAACCCCCAAACTGTTCCCCGGGTAAAGACATACATTTATTCTATTCATATAAGTATTGCTCAGAGGGATATTGGTTTCATTCTGCTTGAGCAATTATCAGTTCATTGAATCCTTGTGTAATGTTGACCCTTTAGACGTAGCAGCAGGACTCATAGCTGTTGACCGTACCCAAGATTGATTCCAAAACACATATGAATTATAAAGGTGGTGGACAATGTCTCCATGATGTCATCCATTACTGTGTTGAGTGTCGTTATGAAGCTTTGAGTTTGGCATTTTGCCCGTCTCCTTCTTGGTTTTTCACCATCTGTTTTTTTTGCAACCAGAAGTGAGACAAGAGGGTAGAGCAGCTGTCCAAGCGAACGCTAAATAAGGCCTTTTAAGGCGACTAAAAAGATTACAAATAACTTTCATGTACTGAATACACACTGTGAAAGGGTTAAAATTGGTAAAAAGATGAAACCTGTCAATCACAAAGTAGCCACACCCTGATTTCGGGTCTATTTTACCTTGCAAAATAATTAATTAAATGTATTATCATGCCTTTTTAAAAGGACTCAAAACTAAAAACTAATTGAGAGTCTGTTTACTGATGCAATGAATCAAGAAGTAGGGTCATTTTCTCATAAACAATCTGACTTCTTTTTACAACCAGCGGAGTTGCCCATTAAATAACGCAGGTTTAGGAGCAGAAATTGACCCACCAAAGAAGAAGATACCGTCCCAGCCTGCAATGTAGCGCCCCCAGTAGGGCAGTAGACTGCGGCTCCATTTGGGGGTCGCAAACACAGGCATGTTGTTGGAGAACATCTGGGCTATGGCGTTGATGAAGTCTTGTGTACCTGCAGGGATTTCCTCGTTCAGACACCCGAGCCTCGTCTCGAACAGTATGGAGGCAATACCTGAGTGGCACAAGGTTAAGATTTAAGCATAAGAAATGATCAGAGAAACTGTCTAGAGCTGAGGTGTCAAACTAAATTTTAGGTACGGTTCAGCAACCGGTCGGGCGGGTTTGTCCGCACACAAACGGGATACGTACCGATCTCACGCCGTGCGACCCCCAGTGGACTGATTGGGAATAGCAGCTACTTTTATAGAAATGCAATTGATGCCTTTCTGTAATTCCCACACCATCATAGTTCTACCACACAAGTTTCAGTCGGTTGCAATGTGCAAACGCACCACTAAATGGTGCTAAATCCTACGAGCAGGACCCATGATGCATCAATTTGGGTACATAAACGGTTTGATTTGAATGATTTCACAATTCAGTGTAATAAGTGCACAATATCTAAGTGAACATGCACCATCTATAAGTTATATACCCTCTAGTGAGAAGTGATAGAGCTCATTGGCCACATCTGTCACCAAATCTCCCGTTGTGCTGCCCTGACGCAGTAAGTAGATCCTCTTCATGAAGTCAGTAACCACGTCATTGATAACGCCATCATACTGTGCCGAGTCTTTTGGATGCAGCATGCGCTTATTCAGCATCGCCCTCAGGTTGTACCACTTCTCTCCCTCCCTGGGAACAAATAAACAGTCAGCATGAGAAACAAAACCAAAGCTAATCAGGTTTCCAAATATGTGAGCTGTGTGCGATTCATGTGTTTGTGATATGAATGACAAAATGTGGGACATTTTGTGACAATCTAAACGTATAGATTTCAATACTAGCCAGTCAGTTGTGTGTTTGTAGTTTAACATATTTTAATGTTATGGTATTTGGGAAGAAAATCAAAATGGGAGCAAAGTGAAACTAACTTGCAAGTTAAAGGTAGTTTTTAGGCTTCTAAAGTTTCACTGATGATTGGGTTTAAAAAAAATAAAGACATAGTCAATATTTTAAAGAAATAGTTTGACATCTTGTGAAACATGCTTATTTGATTTAGAGCCCAGAAAAAGCGGACCTTCATTTGAAATTATTTCGTTACATTTTTAATGCATTTCACTCAAAGACCGTTTCCAAAGCAAACCTCAACTTCACAGTCTGAGCGGTCTACATCAGGCCACCATCAATACGCGCCTCTCACATGACTGGACTTTGCCCCGGGAAGCGATTATGTAAGTTCTTCAAGTTATGTTTCTACAGGGGAAGTGGTGCAGTAGCAATCTGAGCACACTGTATGTCTCACTCTGTGAAAGGCCCGTAGCCAAATCCCCTCAAATCACGATGCTCTTTCCACACCGTCATGTCTCCTCTGGAGGGGAACTTCTCCTCGTTCCTCAGGACTTCCTCCAGCATCTTTGCAGTGTTGAGGGAAACGGACTGCAGTCCGTTTCTGTATATGGGCCCGTAAAGCTGCTTCTCATAGATCTGAAGGTAGATATGAACAGAGCAATGTCATAACACATGAGGTAAGTAGAGGGAAACAACCAGAGTCTAGAACAACGTTTGAATAGTAGTTGCATGAGTAAAATGTACTGCGTTGTGACATCGCTAACTTATAAAGCCCATGAGGAGACATTCCAGGGCGGGGGGGGGGGGCAATGAAACTGGTCCCTTTGTGAAAAGTTGTCCTGTAAACAAAGGTCTCTTCTGCGAAAGCAAGCTGAGACTTGACATTGTGTTCTGGAGGTTACTATGGGAGAAAAAGGTGATTCAAACCAGCCTGACGATTTTATTGCCACAGGAGGCAAACGCAGTCACTTAACAATCCCTGAAGTAAATCATAAAGAAAGCCAACTCACACCTGAGATTCATCATCAGGGATCTCTGGAGGCCATGTAGATAAAAACCTTTTGCGGACCACACTGCCGTAGACGTGCTGAATCTGTATGCGTCTCATCCAAGGAACCGTTCAGTGCACTGAAGCCGGCTTACCTGCAGCTCGTGCAGACGGTTGTAGAAACCCTGAAACGCCATCCTGTAAAGAAGCTCCAAAAAGCTGACGCGTGGGAGGTCCTCCACGGTCCGAGGCTTGTCCCGGGATGTAGAGAGGGCCTCGGCGGCGGAGGACGGGCCTCCCACCCCCCGGCGGCAGACCCCGGCCACGGCGTTGGGCCACGGAGATAGCCAGTTCCTTTGCATCACACTCCGGGTCAGCCATGCAGCCATGGCGAGGGCGGAATGGAAAACACACGGCTCCTGTTACATCCAGGGGGCCAGCTGAGCAGGGAGGGGCCACGTCTTACCACGATGTTTAACCCTAACAGCACAGCTCTCAAGGATTAACCAGGCCCACGGGCCAGTGCAGCCGTTTGGATCGGACTGGTTACATTTACTCAAAAGGTGTGCTTTGTCTCGTGGTGGCGCTTCACGTTACACACCGGTTTGAAATATGACGTGATTTGTAGCGCATGTAATTGGCTGCTGTGGCGTAAAGGCTAGAAATAGCTGTGACTGTTAAAATAGAAAGAGCTGCATCAAATGTAAAAATTTACAATTATCGCTTTTAGGTGGAGATACAAAGGTGTGGGTGCTCCTGTTTGTGAGCCTCGGTCCCTTGCTCAAGGGCGCTCCATGGTAGTCTGAGATGTGCAGCATGTGCCGTTCACATGATGGAACGCATTCAGCAGAGATGTATTTATTTTGTATCAATCGTAAACTGCATACAGTATATGACATAAATCTTCGTAAAAACAGTCCATCTCACATTCCTCTTTAATAAGCAATAGGTCTTCAAACCCATAGCGGTCCAGTCCTTATTTCATTTGCGCAACATTGTCTATCGATCCTGCAGGGTCCATTTTGTGCAGCAGAAAGTGTCCCTGCACCTGGGCAGCGCTGATCTCAGGGTGGACGGCCAGCGCTCGCTCAGCAAACTTCTCTCCCTCAGACGCAGGCTCCTCTGGGTAGAACCGGCAGAACATCTGTGTGAGCTGCCGCTCCGTGCAATGGCCGATGTACTGCTTCAGGTCAACGCGGCCGGGTCGGATCAGCGCTGGGTCCAACCTGTGTGCACAGAATGCAGGCAAGAGTGGCAGTCAATGTCACAGAAAATACCAGCGAAAATACCAAACTCTGTATGAAAAACACAGAAGGTGCCCCATTTCTTTTTTTAGTTGCTTTTATAATTTACATTTTATAACAAATACCTTATGTATGGAAGAATATATGTGTTCAACGATAGTGTACGGGCCACAAATTCTACATCGTCGCATCCTTAGAAAATACAAATGTCCACAGTGACACATCAAAGGACAACCGCAACATAACTTGTAGTGTCCATTCTGAAAATAAATCAATCAACGTGACTTGGTAAATATTGTCAATTGAATTGTGGTTTATAATGCATCATGTTTAGCCAGCAGGTGGCAATATAACGCTGTATTAGCTAATGCTGCTTGTTCATACATCCCTCTAGCAGAGCAACATGAGTCCAATAATTTCTATCATCTTGGTTCTATTTTGGTCTGCATCAACTCCTGAGAAACACATGTCTCTTCAACTGCTACCTTTTGTCTTTCTGCCAGTGGAGGTTGAGAAGGCTGCATATTCTGGATTTACAAGGTTTACAGCAGTGTAATATGTTTTTGGTATTAAACACAGCTATTCAATTCTTTTAATTTAACCAGTGCAGATTTAAGTGTTTTCATGTAGTTCTATTTAATAGATTCAACCTTTGTTGTTTTATTAGATAATGGTAGTGTTTAGGTAGAATATTTATTGGTTTCTGTTATTCCTATGATTTACAGAGAGGTACATCTGATTGGTAGAACTGACGGAGCATTCATATACGCTGTTTTGTATATATAGGTTGTTGTTTTTTTCTTCTGTTGGACAACCACACACATAATAAACGACGTGTTACTGAATCGTACTACAGTACCTGTCAATAAAGTTGGTGGTCATAAAAAGTATTCTGGCCTCAGATGAAGCCACTCCATCCAGCGCATTGAGCAGCCCACTAAAGGTCAGTCTTCCCATTCCCTGGTAGGCCACAGGGTCTGAGTGAAACACATAGACAGTCTGTCTGAACCATCACAGCTTTTTAAAGTTACCACAGTAGTCAACTCTACCTCTCCTACAGGCAAAACGTTGATACATACATGAAATCCTCTCATGGGTTCATGTAGAACAGAGGGACTAACTTGTCATAATGGTATACAATAACAGTCATAAGTTTGGACACATTTTCTCATTTATTCAATGAGAAAGTGTGTGCAAACGTTTGACTGGTACTGTAGTTGAGCCTCTTTATTATATTATGTTTTTCTGACAACAAAATCCCGAGCCATCAGCCTTGTTCCTTACTGTCCGGGGGCAGCAGCTCTCGGCTGACAAAGGCCGCGTCGACATCCTCCAACAGTATGATGCTCTGCTGCGGTGCCACGCTCAGGAGGTGGTTCAGGCGGTCATCCGACAGGCTTTGGTCACTCAGACTCATCAGACAGATGCTGTAGCCGAGCTCTCCTGCCAGAGCCGTGCTGGTATGCAATGAGCCGAGAAAAGGTGGGTGAAATTGTAAGCAAGCACAAAGCCGTCTTTCAATCATGTTAACTCTAAACAAGAGCTCAAATCCAAGAGAACACTCACATAAAGCTGCTTTTCCCACAGCCCGGGGGGCCATACAACAGATATCCTCTTCTGTAGGGTATGCCTGCATTGAGAAAAGAAGTATTAACGTGGTCACACAGAACAACTGAAGATTGTAGCTAATGTTTTTCAGATTACAAAAACAATTTGAAAAAGAAAATGTTGGAATGTCCACCTTGTCTAGCATATGGCTGATATTCTACCTCTGTCCGTGTACCACTTGGGGTTCCCGATGAACTCCTTCACATCGTCTACGATCTTTTCAGCCAAGCCTCCCTCGAGGACCACCGAGCTGAGGGGTCTGCGTCGCCGCGGAAACCCAAAGGGCCTCCAGTCGCCGCCCATAGCCGTGTACATCACGGTCCTTCCCTCTTCCTGCTTCAGGGCCAGTTCCCTTGCTGCAAAACATGATTGACAACTGCCCTAAATTGATTGCAAATGATAGATTGACACAATACAAGTCACGTGTTGCAGCTGTCATACAAGCATGAACTTTTTACCTTCTTGGAGAATATTAAAGAAAATCTGTCTGTCTCTGCCTAAGGCAGTGAAGGTTACGGACTCCCACGGGGTTCCAGTGTGCAGATCCACCATCTGCTTCTCTCTGGTCCTCTCCACCCTGATCCACTTCCTCCCGTACCTGCAGGCCACAATAGAGGACAGTCTCAGAGGATGTACCATACCACCCAGGAGAATGGCAATTGTGGGAATAATATCTATATGATCATGACATCTTCACTTGTGATACAGTTTTAAAAAGAGTTATTTTGATGTATATTTAGAGAACTCTTCTGACCAGATGATGTGGTTCCCAGGACTTGGGTGGAAGTCAAACTGGGTGTGGACCCGCCCACTCTCGTGTGCCAGGTAGGAGGTCTCCACGCTCAGGTGCTGAGTGTGCTTGCTGTGCTTGGTGATCCAGCTCAGCAGCCAGTGGTAGCTCTTATCCCTGCTCGGGACCTCCAGCGTGATCATGTAGTTCCTGCGGAAGAAGATCATTCCCACCTGGGCACCCTTCCTGGCTACCGCCAACGCGGTTCCAATCCCCACCAGTCCAAACCCGGCCCCGAAGTACGGGTTGTCCTTCAGGCCGTCCAGAAAGTCCGACAGAGGCATGTTGCTGATAACTGCACACACCCTATATACGTCTTACAACACTTTGTTGCAAACTCATTTGACCTGAGCGGTATGATCTATCAGTAGCCGAATAACTGCTGCCAAGCTGGGAATCTTGAAATCGAATAACATTTGGAGCTAGTTTCTAGTGCTCAATAATAGTCTAATATTCCACTGACTTGCCTTCTTTGTCTCCATCTCATTGAGCTCCATCGGAGGCTGTCTATTCCAGTGCACACAGCAACTGTCCAACCTACTAAAACCCCCACGCGTACATCGTAGTGCCGCGGTGCGCAGTAGTCACGGCGACCTCTGCTACACTTCCTGTGTTTCATGAATATTGTTCCGACCGTTCGCCAGGCCTCAGTCGTTCGTTCCTAGGTCGTGTTATCTTAACGTCATTTAGCTCGTAAGCTAAGATGAAAAGTCAACTAACGTCAACTGTTGGATAAATGTGTTGGTGAATGGCATAATTTATTCATTTGACATTTTACACATTCGACTCTACGGACCGAAACGACGATATGAATTGCTAGCAGGAACCCAGACGTTCAGCAACCAGATTAAGAAGAAGTGAGCTAACTAACGGTAGCTCCGTTTCAAGCGATATTGTTAGCGTCTTAATACAATTTTAAACGTTATCATGATAAAGTAAATTAAACTCCGGCCGCTACCGCCCAGAATGAATAAAGAAAGCCATCGCAGAAAAGACTATCTTTACGACTCGGATGCTGTCAAATGGATAATGGTTGGTGTCCTGTGTTTCGGATAGAATGTACCGCGGAAACTCAGGCGGTAGGTCGATATTCTGCTGCTGACGTTATCTTAAAGTCTGCGGTTTGTCCTGCAGGGATGGAGCTTATCTAATGTTCGTCAATTGTTAAGGACAATACAAGGCGACATGAACACACAATTTTATTGTACTAAGTCACTGTAACATATGTAATTGGCTCAGTTCGATGGTCTGTTGTCATGCAGAGAGTAATTGCAGTGTTTCGTGAAGCTAATTTGTCTTGCAGATGTGTTATTTTCCTCTCCATGTCTGTGTTATTTTAGTTTGTTTTTGAGGTATGTGTATATCACTGGTATAAGGAATGTGAACGGAATTTAATTAACCCTAGATCATTTTATATTATTCTTCAAATAAGAATTAGAAAATGAAACAGAAGAAGCCGTTTCTATGTTTCTCTGCACTGTCCACAGACCACAACTTTGTACTGAAGACGTGGTCTATTTGTGAAATATGTACACATTTGTAAAAAACATGAATCCCAACTTTTTGCCATGCTTTTTAAAATCTATTCAATTGTAATCAATAACGCTGCTATTTTTTTAATTTTTAGACACAATGGAGTCTGTGGAGCCCCATGGATGTAACACTTGTGGCCAGAGTTTCTCAGACATTGGCCTGTTTACGTCACACCTTTGCTCAGAAAGGCCAACCACTCCGTCCAGGGGAAAAAAGATGGGCAGCTACAAATGCTCCCAGTGCAGTGAGGTTTTTCTAGAGCCGCGTCTCCTGAAGCGCCACTTCAAAGTCGCCCACGGCGGGCGCGGACCTGAAGGCCCATTCCCCTGCACTGAGCAAGGCTGTCGCTTCAGCAGCACAGGCCGTCGGGAATATCAAGCCCACCTGACGTCCACACATGGTCTCACCCTTGTTCCTTGCAACCTCCGGTCCTGCAAAGTGTCATTCCTCACACAGGATGAGATGGAGAGACACTTCCGGGGCCACATGCCCTTTGGCTGCTTTCAGTGTCAGTTTGTCACGTTGAGCGGTAAAGACCTGAATGACCACCTCATGGAGCAGCACCATCGGCCGCCCGGCGCGCAAGGTAAACAGTTATTATGTTGCACGCATGCAGGAATCCGTTTTCAAAAAACAAAAAGTCGATCTTACGTGAATGGTTTGGCTCATCTGTTGATAGATAAGGCGACTGCAGTCACGGAATGCACTAAAGGAAGCAACCAACCTCATGTTCCTGGCAGGCCGACGAGAATGCTAATCCCAAAACCAGTTCATGCATCATCGTTAACAGAAGATGGGAACGACGAATTGTCTGAGGGCGAAAGGCTCGATTTAAAAAGAGCGAGGAAAGCAGTGGAAAGAGACAAACCATCAGCATTGGAGGCTGCATCACTACCATCCAAAGGTACATCCAAAAGTAATATTCAATAATTAACCAAACATATTAAAACATACAATTAATGCACCTTTATTAATGTATGTGGTTCAGGCAACCAAAACCATAGTTTTGAAGGAAATGCCTTGATAAAACTGTTTTTTCGAAAAACCTTTGTCACTACCCTCAATAACAATTCTGTATGTTCTTGTCCATCAGAGTACTTGGCGGAGGGATCAGAGCAAACCTATCGCACCCACATCTGCCCCAAGTGTCGACGCTGCTTCAAGATGCGCTCCCACCTGCAGGAGCACCTCCACCTACATTTCCCCGACCCCAGCCTCCAGTGTGCCAACTGCAAGCGCTACTTCACCAGCAAGAGCAAGCTGCGCCTGCATAGGCTCCGCGAGGCGGGTCACAAGGTTCACCGGTGCCACTTGTGTGAATATTCTGCCGTGGAGCGGAATGCAATCCGCCGCCACCTCGCCAGCGTGCATGCCGATGAGGCAGAGGGCGGCGAGAACGGTCGTACCTATCCCTGCCCCAGCTGTGGTCAAAGCTTTCACCAGAGCAGGTCGCTCAAGGCCCACATGAAGACGCACAACATCCTGTCGGGCAGCAAGTCGGTGGCCTGCTTCCAAGAGGGTTGTTCCTTCCAGAGTTCTTTGCGCAAAGAACTTCTCCGACACAGCGCCGAGGTGCACGGGGTCACGGCTGTAGCGTGCCGCCATCACGCCTGTGGCGCCGTCTTCCAAAGTGAGACGGACATGGAGGCTCATTATCGGAAGCACCTGGCCTACCACTGCTCACAGTGTGATTTTTCCTGTTCCAATAAGGCCGTCTTCCTCCAGCACCAACGGCACGGTCACCCGGGAAACGACGAGCTTTGCTGCGACTTTTGCTCCTTTGTCACATTCAACCCCGTGGAGTTCAGGCAGCACGTCGGCCATCTGCACGCCGGCGAGAAGATCCATCGCTGCTCTCAGTGCAGCTACGTGACCTCGCATGAACGGGGCTTGAAGCGGCACATGCTGATGCACAGCGGTGAGCAGTGAACCGATTAACGGCCCGATGGTTTTTCTCATCTTATTCTCGCCTTACAGAGTCTTGCGTTTAGCTTTTGTGCAGCCATTCTTATTCCCATTTCCTGAATTAATGTTTTTCTCTGTTACAGGTGAGAAGCCCCACAAGTGTAGCTTGTGTGACTTCAGGTGCCGAGATGAGTCCTACCTCTCCAAACATATGCTGACTCACTCGGATGACAAGAACTTTATGTGCGCTGAATGTGGATACGTCACGAAATGGAAGCACTATCTGAATGTCCATATGAGGAAACATGCTGGAGACCTCAGGTAGATCTCAGCCGGTTCTATACACCTGCATGTTTTCCATTTCGGAAATTGTAAATGCACTGCTGTGTTTTCACATAATTTAGTTGCTCATGTAGGCCTATTGTTTGTTGTTCTGTTGTTGTGACCAAACTTCCTGTCTCCTCCAGGTATCGGTGTGACCAGTGCCCCTACCGCTGTCACCGCATGGACCAGCTCAATAGCCACAAATTACGACATCAGGCCAAATCCCTCATGTGCGAGATCTGCGCATACGCCTGCAAGCGCAAATATGAGCTCCGCAATCACATGCTGGCCAAACACTCCGGCGAGGAGACACCGCCATCGGTCTTAAAGTGCAAGTACTGCACGTACACTACCTGCTACAGACAAGCCCTTCAGAACCATGAGAACTGCAAACACACCAAGCTGAAAGAGTTCCGGTGTGCTCTCTGCTTCTATTCCTCCTTCAGTAGCATCAGCCTCTTTCTGCACAAGAGGAAAGCTCACGGCTACGTACCTGGGGACAAAGCATGGCTAGAGAACTACGCCGCAAAGGAAAGGGAGAGAAACTCAACCGAGATCTCTCAGGACTTCTACGATAAGCCCCTAGTAGGTCATGAACAGTCTGAACCATCAACATCTGAAGGACCTGCCTGTCACAGAGAACGGTCTGATCCCCATGACTCTGCAGACCGTTTTGCCGGCAGGCGCTCCGAAGGCGGTTCACATAGTGAGTCTGTGGATGCTTTGGATGTCGTTTCTCAAGAGGTTGTTAATGACGGTGTTTCTAACAGTCCTCCACCTGTGAGCCGTCCGGAGGAGTACTGCACTCTTGTCTTAACGACACTTTCAACCACAGAATATCAGACCTCCTCTTTGCAAAGTCAGGAAGGACATTGCACGAATCAAACTCCAAGCACTGACAATTCAAATCACCTTGACATACCACAAGAGAAGGTGGACTCCTGTACGTCTTCGTCAGAGGGAGACGACGTAGCTGTGGCAGATGCAGAACGTGGACAAAGTGTTTTAGATGATGTCCATGTGCCTCTGCATGATACAAGTCAACCAGTAGTACCTAGGGAGTGTCAAACATCTAAGGTGGAGAATGGCGGCGGGTCGCTCGGTTCCACTTTTCCATCCGATCAGAATAATCCAACCGAATCTGAGATCCGTCTGAAAGCTATGAAGAAGCACGACAAGGACCAAGCGGAGGCCATGGTTTTGGAGGGAAGGGTGCAGATGCTCGTGGTGCCTTCCAAAGACGTGCATCGATGCGAAAAGTGCTCTTATGTAACCAGCAAGGAGAGCGCTTTGAAGCACCACTGCCAGGCTCTGTGCCATGTTAGAACGAAGGGACACAAGTGCCAGGATTGCGAGGCGCAATTCAGACAGAGGCGAGGCCTCGACAGCCACCGTGCTAAGAAGTGCCCGGCGCTTCCACGAAAAACAAGGGCGTTCGTTGGCCTTTCAAATACAGTAGAAGACAACTCTTCTGTGGGTCAAGGAGCATCCGAGCAAGTCGATGCGGAAACAAATGCCGATCAGCTAGAACTCCTTAGTCGGAATTCCACAGATTCTAACCATCAGGAATTTAGTCCGCGAGAAGAGGGAGTATGTACATCTCATTCAACAAAATGTAAAGGGTTTGTTCGGACAAAAAAACTTTCTAAAGTTAAACTTGCAACTAAGCAGTTGTTTTCCTCTAACAATCAACAAATGATTCCACTGCTGAAATCCCTTTATGCCAAAAAAGATGGGAAATTCAAATGCAAACTGTGCAATTTTTCGTCAGTCAGGCTCACAACAGTCGAGCGACACCTCTCTCTCTGCAGAAAGATCTTAAAGAAAAGCGAGAGTCGGATCGTTCGATCGGATGAGCCCTGTCGCGAGTCGGTCAACGACAAAGGGGAGGTGGAAGAGCGCAAGGACGGAACCGGGAAAGTTTCAGAAAGAAGACGTAAACTCTTGTCCTGTCCGAGCTGTGCGTTTAGGTGCAGTCAGAAAAGGGCATTAGACAGCCACGAAAAGAGAGGCTGCCTGAAGCCAGACGAGCTCCAGTGCGCCATGTGTCCGCTGGTGGCCAAATCTCAAATCTCCTTGACCCGTCACGTCGCACGGGCCCACAACGACAAGAAAGTGGCTCCGGCCGAACGTCTGCCCTGCCAGCACTGTACCTTCACCTGTAAACACGAGCGGCGCATGGCCCTACATGTCGCGCTCAAACACAAAGGGGGCCGACCTCACCGCTGCCGCTTCTGCCCTTTCAGCACGGCCAGGCGCTATCGCCTGGAGGAGCACCTCTCCCTCCACACGGGGATCGGTCGCCACAGTTGCGATGCGTGCGACAAGACCTTCGGCGCCGTGGCCAAATTGCGGCAGCACAAGACGCGCATCCACGACAGGCGGCCGACGCACTTCTGCCCGCTCTGTGACTTCAGCGGCTACACGCCGGACGACGTGAGGCGGCACGACCTCCGCAGCCACGCCGGGGAGTCGCGCCACGCCTGCGCTCACTGCGAGGCCCGGTTCAGTTCGGGAGTTGCGCTGAGGAACCACCGCAGGCGCGCGCACCGGCTCCAGGTTGGTTCGTCGCGTGGCAGCGAGGCCTCCCTGGAGCCCCGCCGGGAGAGCGAGCACCCTGGGGTGAAGTGCGGCACCTGCGGGGAGTCGTTTAGGACCCGCGAGAGCCTCGAGACTCACCAGAGAACCCACCTGGCACATCGGTGTCAGCTGTGCCCCTTTGGCGCCAAAACGCGGCAGCTGTTAGCGCGGCACCTGCTGGGCGAGCACGAGGAGGGCCCTCCGGAGGAGAAGCCTTTCAAGTGCAGCTCGTGTCCGTTCGCCTGTCGCCATCAGCTGGTGCTGGAGCAGCACTTCCGTTCACACGGAGGCAAACGTCTGTACAAGTGCGCGGACTGCGAGTACGTCAGCCGGAACAAGCAGAAGATCACGTGGCACATTCGCACACACACGGGAGAGAAGCCGTACAGCTGCGAGCAGTGCAGTTACACGTGCATCGACCCGTCGAGGTTGAAGGTAACCTCAGAGTTTATAGCAGGTTGTTTGTGAGATTAAAAGTGCTGGTTTGGAATAATCCACATTAAAGCAGTGTATTTCTTTATAGGAACGTCAGCATTGGTCTCTTTCATAATTCTTTAATAACCAATGGTTACAATTCAATTCAAAGATTTTATTGTCAAATACACCCCCCTGTGTATTGAAATTGTTATGGTTGCCTTTTCTGGATAGCCGACCAATTTTAAAATTAAAATAAAAATACAATATTTACATAAATGCACATGAAATAAAAATAAGGCAGAAATGAGGTGAGGGGAAATGTGCAAAACTGAGCAGGTTGTAAAAAAAAAATTAAATTAAATGAAACGTGTGCGCAATATAAATTAACAGTACTGGGGTAAACATTGGTTATTTATTTATTTATTTGGTTTGTGTTCTTTGTTTAAGCCGTACAAAAACTGAATTGTCATAGCAACAAGCCAAGACATTTTCGGCAAAAATTGCGTTTGTTTTTTCCTCTTTGATCTGTACTTTTTTTAAAAATTTTTACAAAATGCCCTATAAGGCGTTTATAGTGATGTGCTTCTGTTGGCGGTTCCCCCACCTTCCCCAACCTTTATGCTAAGCTAAGCAAAGCAGCTGCTTGTGGTGGTTGGTGGACACAGGAGGCCTCATCTAACTTTTGGCACAAAAGCGAAGCACGTTTGAAAAAATATCAATGTTTTGGCACATTTAAAAGATGTCTTAAGTTTATCGTTTCATCATTATTTATCAACTACTTCTAAACCCTGGTTTTATAATCGTTTCTACCACAGCTTCACATGAGGGTTCACCAAGAAGAGAAGAAGTACCTTTGTCCTGATTGTGGCTACAAATGCAAGTGGGCGACTCAGCTGAAGTACCACATGACCAAACACACAGGTATCGCCGGCCACTGCTGCGTCATTGGTGGGAGGCAGGAGGGTTTTCAGAGCATAAATAAAGCTTTTTTTCATTTTAGCGCTCTCCTTCGAATTTGTGTTTGTAAGTGAGGTATAAACCAATTGATTTGTCTCCTGCAGGGGACAAGCCGTACGCCTGTGACGAGTGCGACTACCGCACTAACCGAGCGGACGCTCTCCGCGCCCACCGGGACACGCAGCACTGCGACCTGCGGCCTTACGTCTGCGAGAAATGCGGCAAAGCCTTCAAGACCAGTTTCATCCTGAAGACCCATCAGCGGCAGCACAGTGACGATCGGCCGTACACGTGCGGCTTGTGCCACAAGGCCTTCCGCTGGCCGGCGGGTCTCCGGCATCACTTCCTCTCGCACACCAAGGAGCAGCCTTTCTGCTGTCGCCACTGCGCCTACCGAGCCAAGCAGAAGTTCCAGGTGGTCAAGCATTTGCGGAGGCACCATCCAGAGGTGCCGGTGGAGCAGGGGGTGGTCAAGGACTCCGAGGCGGCCAGCCTGACCCTGAAGGAGGCCTTGCAGGGGACGCTGGGCGAGAAGGCAGCAGCAGCAGCAGCGGAGGAGGAAGGAATTGGAGACAGTGTAAGGAGCAAGGAGGTGGTCGTGCAAAGGGAGGAAGACAGCGAGACCAAATGCTAATGAGAGGGCACAATATATAGTGTGGTCAATTCAGAATGTAAAATAATTGACAAAGGAATCAAACTATCAATATGTGGAGCAGACACTGTAAACGGTTGAATGAGGGAATGTGGATTAAAAGGCCGCTGTGTCCAAGTCGAGTTGAGAATTGGTTATGATTAAGAAACTAATATGTAAAGTGACGAAATATCAATGAGTCACATGTTTTGGAATAATTGCATGTGGAACCATTCACAAAATGCATTTATTTACAGACCCATGTACATTATACACAACTTGTCATTGTAGAATTAGTACATTAGTGCAATTAGTATCTTAATATAGAAATAACTCAAGCAGTACTGATCGTAGTGCAACCAGCACGCTGCAAAGTTCTGAGTAATTCATTATAGTGTGTTTATAATACTGTTATTTGTTTTTTTCACATTCTATTATTACACGGTCACTTCTGCATATACAATATATTAAAAGGCAGATGGGGGTATTTTTACATTGTAGACATGAAGTTATCCTTCATGTTACCTAATTCCCTAAGCAGTTAAAAATATTTTGTTAAAAAGTTAGAATTGTAGTTTCTTGTCGAATTGGGTAAAGGACATGCATCGACCTTATTTCATAGTGACTTTCTATAACTGATTCAATCTGTTTGAGATAAGTCCTTGAGAACAGAAATGTAATATCTTGTTTCAGTGAATAATGCTGAGTAAAAAATAACTTAATAGGATTTCTGACACATTACCCGAGGATTGCTATCTAAGAGGTGCAACGTGTAGCCGACCTGATGAAACTCTGAGAGACGCTAAAAGAGACAGTTATCCATTCATCTTAACATGAACGTGCTTAGCTCAGTTTTGGCAAAACCATAATTATTTGGAATGTTGGAATTAACAATGGATCCATGAAAGTATTTCTGGAATGTTACACGCTGTTAGCACACCGTGTCACCTTATTAACAAACCGGCAGATGCCCGATATCGGACAAAAGCAATGGCGCGCGCTGTCCCCATCCTGCGTCAGGCCGATGCCGCGGGGCTGTAGTCCGCTCAGATTTGACCTCTTTATTCGAGCTCTGAGATGCTGATGTTGACAAAGAGGGAGGAGGGAGGGATGGCGGTTCCATCTTTGGAGAGCAGGTGAATGTGACGATATCCTGGAAAGGAAAGACGTCGAGAGGAATTTGGATGGGAGTCGGATTTGATTGGCAGGAGTTCCTATGCATCCGGCTTTAAGGCCACGTGTGATTGAACCGACATCATTATACAAACGCCGCAGTGAGCTGTAGCTGTGCCACGCTTTGGGATTTGGCACCCACTGTCCTCTCTGCTCACCTGCTTGGATGCACGTAAACGGAAGCGTGAACTGGCCGATGAAGTCGTTCCTGGAGGCCTTGTCGTAGTCCTCCACCTCGAAGCGAACCAGGGCCAGATCAGGCGCGTGGATGACGAAATTTAACGTTTCATTCCATACTGGGTTAAAACCTGCAGGCAGAGGGCAGTAGAGGAGCGAGTATGACCAACAGGGAGGCAACCTTTTTCCTCTCCGTTGTATTTTTAAGGGTCGCATGCATCATTCCTTCACACCCTGACCTTTATATCATCAAAACCATATGGTAACGAAATACACAGAATACAGTATTATGTGGATAAAAAACAAGTCTCTCACCATTGTTGTTGATGTGACTGGTCTCTTCCTTGGCCTGGTCCTGTGGCACACCGTAGATCTCCACTCGGACCAGGGGGTCCACAATTGAGCCTTCTTTCTGGTTCACCTTTGGGAGCTGCTGCCCACTGATCACCTGACACACGCACAAGCAGATCTGCATGTTAGACACCACTGTGTTGCATCTTTTCAGTTAGCAACATCAAACCCCAGAGCAGTTTTGAACCTGTATGGATAAGCGGAGGGGTTTGTAGCCTCGCAGCTCCTTGGGCTTCTCGGGGCCGAACTGAGTGTTGGCGTCCCTCATGAAGTCGGGCTTGAGGACGTAGCCGCAGCAGCCGTTCTGCCCGAACAGCCCGTCATTCAGATCCATTTCCAGGCCAGCTGTCTGGAAGTTCAGAGCCACTTGGGGAAGAAGCAAAGCAGAACAGAAGACATACTCTGTAATTAGCTGTGGTTTGCTGCATCACGTGATTTCCCAGATTTACAATCTACAACCTCGTCATCAAAGTTCATGTGAGCAGTCCAGCAGACGACCGTCTTTCATCCCGAGCAAACAGCGTCAGTTTGAGGCCTCATGACTGGAAGTATGTGTCATGTTGAACTCATCCAGCTGCTGGGTGACGCTCTATTTTATAATTTAAGTCACTAGATCATTAACACAATATATGACTAATATTTGTTGACATATGCAACGTTATTATGTTAATATTTACTTTGACGGTGGATCCCATTTTAAATGGCAGTTTTATGCTATGGTGCAACATAATTGAACACATCTGGGTATAAAGGAAAAACTAAAGTGACATTAAGTTAAGTTAAAAAGTAATCTGCTGTCATTTAAGCCAGTTTTAAAGGTTGCTACATGAAGTTTAAAAGTATTGAAAAGGAATTACTGGATTTAAACGCATTGCATTGGGAGGTTTTGATCCAGCCGCGAAAGTATTATGTTGTGTTTCACATGTAGATGCTATTCATTTTTATCAAATAGAACTGTGCCAATTGATGTCCCTTCCCCAGGATCACAAGTTGCCGTCGAGTCACAATGAGCCCTTTATTTATATATTTGTCTCTAGATCTTTCTTATCCTGAGAGGGGCTGAAAAACGACACGCTACACGTTTTCAGCCACATGCTGAGATGTTGGAGGGGTGAATATTGACGCGTTGAGATGAGAGACATTGGTGATTTCAAAGGCAACGTTTGATTTGACCAGCCTCACCTATCTGGCAGCCCACATTCCACATCTCCTGTGGGTTGTAGTTGGACGAGTCGGTCCTGCGTCCTCCGGGGTAGATCCTGGTCAGCTGCCGTGTGTTGTACTGCACAAAATCTGTTCCTGAAGAGAATTAAGCCACTAAAGTGATATAACATGAACACACTTCCTCTATCTGTGAATCAGACATTATTATAAATAGAATGGAATAATTATTTATTATAAAGTGCTAATAAAACATTATAAACGCGTGGATAACTTATCACAATCATAGTAAACATAAAGTAAATGTATTTTATGTTGAGAATATGACATCCACTTTAAATGTGATGTTCACCTGCGTCCTTAGCGAGCTTCTTGGCCTTGGACTCAGAGAATGAGGACATCTCGTAGCATTTGGCCTGGGATCGAGCGTGCTCAAAGCCCTGGAAGTGCACACTCTTGCAGTAAACCACCAGGTCTGACAGCTCCCTGGACAGTTTGCACTTGGATTTCTGCAAAAGTGAAGAATAAAAAGCAAAATGAGTCAACAATCAAATGAAATTTCCTTCACTATAATAACATCTATGGTGAGAAGTGGTCCTCAACGGTTTACCCTGGAAATCAGGCCAGTGAATAAATAATACTATTTTAGTAATTTAAGTAAGTAATTTGTTTACTTCTAACTTCAACTAGAAATACAATACTTGGAAGAAATGGTTTATCTGCAGAGCCTGGGCAGGGACAGAACAATTACAAGGCACTACAAGGCAAATGGAATTTATCTTGAGTGAGCTCACATAAACAAAGACAGGGAAAGACAAACAAAGTTACACCCTCATTCACAATACAGTGCATTAAGCAAAGCAGAGAGCAGGTCATATTCATACCCAGAAAATAAGTGAGTCACAATCAAATGCACGTCTACATGACTTGTTGACACATATTCATTTTTTCTGCACTATGGGAAAAACTAATTGTCCGTGCCAGTTTAAGTTCAGCTGGACTAAATACAATTTATTTATGAACTTTTCACAATATCAGAATTTCTTCTCATTTGTTGGAAATGATTGCATAATTATGTGGTAAGAGCTATAATCAATAGTTTGGGATTTTAATTGCAAGAAAATATTATGCGACTACAACTAAGGTAGCAATAAATGTCCTTTTGCAAAATACAGTTATTTTTCTGCACTTCATCACTTTAATAAACCGTGCACATGTAATTGATGCATGCAGTGTCAAGTTCTTCCTAAACATCTGCAGGAAAAAGACAAGCAGCCATGTTGGATGTTGGTTCTGCAGTTTCCTCCTCCGTCCCCTCTAATTAAATCTTTAAAACCACAAATGCTTCCAGTTAATTTCTCACGACCCAGCAGGGAAATGCTAACAATGCTAACATGATAACAGGTTTTTCCCACAAATAAGGAAACCCACAATGGAAGCTGTTGTCTCGATGGGTCTTTTAAATATCCCTGTTTGCTGTTTCTTTTCACCACCTCCTTCCTTCTTCTCCAGTCTCAGTCTCCCAGCTCTTTTTTTTTTTTTTACAACATGGCTCCATTCACATCTATCAAGTATCAACTATACCTGCCGCCTTGACTCCCACTATCTACTATGTAAATGTCTAGGCATGGTCAGATCACGTGTCTTTAATAATAAAATTAAAAAAGATTTCATCAAGGGACGTGAGATTCTACACAAACACCACAAAGCATCAAATGTATGTACAGTACCTTCAAACACTCAGCAGACGGGTCCTCTGTAGGCAGACTCTCAGCATCATCGTTGGCCGTCTCTTCCTCATCACTAACTTCATCCATCAGGGTTTCATCAACGCAGTCTCCTGGACCATTAATCTTCTTGGCTTTCAGCAGAACTTTCCCCCTCAGTTCCTATGACGTGAACACAAACACAGGGACGTCGTGGTTCGTCTAACTCTAAATGCTGGATGGGATAAATGATGTTGCGGTTTATTTGAACGTAACTTTGAGGATCTGATAAAATCCAGTTACATAATTACAATCCATTAATGTTATCTGAATGTGCCAAATGAGTGATGCAAGCTGGGAGAGAGCAGCATAGCAAACTGAGACTGCTCCTGAAGGTGTGGTCCCTCTCTCTGCACTTTGCTGTCTCCTAACTAAATGCAGCAATGTACCACTATTTGACTGCCAAAATCCTCAATGGAATTCAACATTACTCCATTACTCCAAGTTTGCATTGATTGTCCTGAGTGCTCTAATGGAAAATATATTGTAAGTTATATCATGTTTAAGCTTTCAGGATGAGTGGAAGATGGATAGGTAGTCACACACAAACTATTCATCTTTAAAAACATCTCTAAATTTTTAATGATACCTCATGTTTCCCCCAAGTCAGACATTGAGGCACTGGCTAAAAACATTTCCTGCCTAAAGGTCAATCAAGCAGAACGCCTGTCGAAGCTCCATATTGGACTTGATATTAAACGGATTAAAAGAATAAAACGAGAACACAATCCTGCTTGCAAGTCTCTAGAGCAAAGAGTGAAAGCTAACATGTTGTTTAGCTAAGATTTGCTATCTGCTGAAAACAAATGACTCCTTGCTTGAGGGGAAATGAAACCGACATAGTTGAGGGTAGTTTAAAAACCTGAAAGATTCTGGGATTTTGCAATATCCTTTCGGGGGCCTAAGTCCCAAACCTCCAAACAGCTTCTTTACCTGAGGAGAGGGAAGCTGCTGAGGAACCTGCCCGTCCAGCAAGGAGGTCAGCAGCACGTCCCCCAGGATTTGACTAAGGTGCTGGGCCATGACGGTCTGCTGCTCCAAACAACAGTGATTCTCAAGAGACAGAATGACAGGAAAGTCCGATGCCTATCAAACAGGGATGAGAAGACACAGTTTTATGTCTTATTTACAGTGGAGCTGTAGCATCTACTGCAAACTCAGTGGTTAAGGCACCGTACTGAGTTTCCATTATGCAAACGTTTCCACGACCCGCCAGAACAGCTTCTGCATCTTATAGTCGAGCAGGAAAGTCTCATAACTGCTGTCAATGGTTGAGATCTGTGCTACTCACAGTACTGAAGAATTCTAACAGAAAATATGTTTTAGTTGCCTTTATCCTGGTTAACCCACAGACCACAGTATGACGAATCTGGACTATTTATTCTATTGCTGGGGAAACTGTTCACGGTCTGGAACTGGAAAATGGATTCTGGCAAAACGTTGAGGAATTCGCATGGCTGGATGCTGCATGCCGCTCCGTGTGAGGGATGAAAGATGTTTTCTGTGTAATCTGATAGTGCTGCGCACCTTGAAGGCGTATTCCTTCAGCGTTGAAATGACATCTCTAAAAAGAATCTTGGAAGTCAACGTGTGACCATGATAAACGACGGGTTCCCCATCACTGCCGTCCCAGCAGTCCACCTCCACACAGCGGCAGCCTCTCTTCAGGGCCCTAAACACACACAGGTAAACGTTTTAAATTGAAACACGTAGTGAGTCTGAACTGTGTTGCATGTGTGTTCGCTGCAGTCCTCACTGGATGTATGCCTCCAGGCTGCTCTGGCCTCGCAGCTGGTCCTCCAGGAGGTAGGTGTTGTGTGAGGAGGAGATGAAGTAGTGGCTAAGCGGCTGGTTCATGTCCTGGTGGAGCTCCCGATGCTCAGGGTTAAATACGGAGCCCTCCCGTGAGCACAGGTAGATCTGGAAGCCGTCCAATGACATGGCGCTCTGCTTCTTGGCTGCACAGGAAGTGTTGATGGTACAGATGGGTTTCATGCACAGCACAAGCACAATCCAGGGTTGTGTGCAGTTCCAAAGAATTTCCAAATCCACCTTGACTCAAGATAAATGGGCCTATTTACTTTAATGCTCTTCACCGATTAACAAGTGCAGTTCACATCGTATGAGTCTTTGCTGAGGTGAAGGACTTTAATAAATATACTTTCACTGGAAAGAAAGGCACCCGCACGCTGAAATTATGAGTTGCAAATGTTCAACCAGGTTTTAAGTCCTGGATAGGTCTGTGGCTGCAGGGATGACAGTATCCTGCTGGCTGCTGGGTCCATTACTTTTGTCCAGACGGACATAGAGTGCTTTTTGGTTTGAGTATTGGGATAAGGTTTACAACATCTGAAGAGACGTTCTTCAATGCAATATGAAACAAGTAGCTTTTATAAGTGTCTAAAAGATGTTAGTTGCTAACAATGGGCTCCATGAGACGATAGGATGTCATGTAGCCGTGGACTGTTTGACTAATATTTTTACATCAACCGATTTTATTGATGCTTCAAAAATCACTGTGTGTTCTTTTGGAAGTATTAACTTACTGAACAAACCTTTAAGTATGATACACTTGGGTTTGCCACAGAGCTTATTTTCAACAAGAATTTCTTTGATCCAATGGAAAAAATACCATTGGCTTTTTTTTGAGCGAGCCTTGCTATCTTTCGGGGTTGGCCAACAAAAATACAAAAAGCCATGACACCACTATTTTATATAACTGTAGGCTATTGTGTACGTTTGGATTCATGAGTTAGGTATTATAGAAGTAAAGTACCTCGTTCTATTAAATATTCATGTCCAATAAATATTTAACATAAGAAGAGCTGATGCACATGCTGTACCTGCTCATCACTCATGTGTTTTCACAGAGGTCTTTTTATGGCAGTGGGGGACCCCCCCCCCCCCCCCCCCCCGCCCCCCCTTCCAAAAACATGTGTGATGCACAAGAAGAAGCACAAACCTTCTTCACCTGTTTCAGATGGTTCGTAGCGATCAATCAGCTCCTGGGCACGCCGGGAACTCTGCTCTCCCTCCTGCTGCTCTATGCTCAGGAAGCTCTCCAGCTCGTCCAACAATAACTTTTCCCCATCTCCGGAGTAGTCCTGGAACACCTTCCACACCTCGTCCCTCTGAGTCAATATCTTATAGAAGTGGACAAACTGCTCGATTTCCAGAGAGCCACTCTCTGACTTGTCAGCCATCTGTGGACATGAAGGTGGTTTTATTACATGCTGTCTTGGTTGGGAAATAGTCACCTAGTGTGACCATAATGCAACACCAGAAAACAAGGAATGAAGGGGGTGTAATGGTCAGTGAGTCACATGTTCAATCTCTGAAGCAGCTAATGCGTTCACCAGGAGGCAACGGAAGCTCACCGTGAAGAGGCGCAGAGCATGCTCCTCGTTCATCTCCACGTTCATCATCTTCAGCAGTGTCCGCACCTCTTTGAAATTCATCTTCCCGTCTTTGTTTTTGTCAGCTTTCTGAAACCAGTCCCAGACCCACCTGAGAAGATGCTGAGGGAAACTCGGCCTCGTAAAGGGTTGTGGAAACTTATTAAAGTTAAGTCGTTACAATCAGATGGAAATTTCTATTGGAAAAATCCACAGAGAAGATGTATCAGATGGGCCTTCGGTACTTCGGTGGGTTTACCTGAATTGTTTTTTTTCATCTGTAGTCCCGTTGGACTTGTTTGTCATAGAATACCAGACACGGAAATGTACCACGGTAAAAGGATACTGGTCCAGCCTCTCCTTGGCATCCATAGTTTGAGCCTTGTGAATGACCTTGCGGACTCCCTGGATCCACGCCTTGGCTTCTTCGGGCGACTCGGCCACAAGGTCGAGGTTGCCTTGGCGACCTCGAAACACCAAGGTGAAGCAGACATCAGCGGGGAACTCCTCGGCGAGGCTCAGCAGGACCTCCGACTGGTGACCCTCGCGCACAGCCTCCACCTCAGTAACTGAGACTGAGACACGATCGGTGTTGAAGTAGTCGTCCAGTGTTTGGATGATTCACATGTTTTTATCGTGCATTCGCTTCTGATTTGAGGTTTTACGGGAACCACTGCTGTTGTGGCCTGTTTATTTTGGGCTACGGCAGAGCCACGTTTAACTGCTGAACCAGGATGGTTAACACCCTTAAGAATTTTTTTAACACAAAGGTTTCTCTTGGAAACCAAGGAAACAGGACAGAATAATGACGGAACATTTTTGATTGATCTTGTACATTAGTGCCAGAAATTCCCAACATTTTCAGCAACCAACAGAACAAGCAGTGATGCCTTCTTCCCTGATGAACATAAAAAGCTACTGGGCTGATAGAATCCGGGAATAATGCCCAGAGTCCTGACCGACATATTGGGTACTCACACGTGGAGTGGCTCCTCCCTGCCCATCTGGACTTGTACCAGAACGTCAGGCCGTCCTCCAGGAGGCGGAAATGCCGCGGCTTTTTCCACGATTTGGACTTGACTTTTCTCAGAGTCGACCCCGCCATCATCACCCGGACATCCGGGTCATCTTGGATGCCTGCACCGGGTCAGGAATAGAGTTAGTATAAGTCATGTCAAAAGGCTATTTCTCATGTCGTACCTTACACACTCGGTACTATTGGAGAAGATTCCAATAATTATGTTTTTACTGATTTTTATAATATTTTAAAATAGCAAAATCATCACAATTCAGTCTGAATAACATTAACTCACGTGAACCTTCAGGATCCATTGCTATTCTTGAATCATACCAATGGAAATATGTTGCTAACCCAGAAGCAGATGTGGGAGAATTGTTCCAGATGCTTTCCCCTGTTTCCAAACAAAAGTCATTTAGTAAGTGTTCATTCAAATGATGTATAAACTAGCTAAATACAAACGACAAAGGCACAATGTTAAGCGTCAGCGGTCCGCACAAGCTTTGCAGAGCACACTTTCAGCAACTCTTTTTTTTAGATTAAAATAATAATAACATGTCAGCACACCTGCTTCAATACCTTACTTACTTAAGGAAGGACAAAGTTCCCTTTAGAAATACAGGACTGCCTCGCTGATCAGTTGCTTAGCAGGGTGGTGAAGGGAATCTATTAGTTACTTTTAACTGTAAGAAACGGGCTGAAACCCCTGCGTTGGAAAGTGAGCGCTGATGAAATGTCCCGGAGCTCCAGTTCTGCTCACATGATAACCTAATAATAAAACAGAGAATACAATCTGCAAGGATTAAGTGAAGTATGGGCCCTTCATGCCAAGATGTGTTCTGGGCGAGTCAGCATTTAAATCTCGATCCACTCACACCATCTTTAATCATTAACGATGTGCAGGCAGAGAGGATTGCTGCTCCTGTGATAATACCCACTAAGCAGTGTGTGCAATCCATAGGAGACTATTTATTTAATGAAAAAAAACTAAACATGATTTTTTTAATCAGGAGGGTGAGTAGTCTGATATTGATGAGATAAGAGATGATGCGAGTACTGCCAAAGTTGATTGATAGAAGCTCATTTGATGTTGAAATGTGTGTCTTTTAATATACAGCCGTTTGTCATCCTTTGTTTTAAATTATCTTCATTTGTTCATGTCAAAGGATGGTGATTCACGAGCTCTGTTTTACTTCATTTTATAACACTGTTTCTCCTCATAAATTTCCGAGTGCATGTTATTTTGTGTCTCAGGAGAATGTAGCCTATGTTTTCACAGGTTTGAGGATTTCTCCCATGACCTTTGCTCTGGGGGTATAGGTGTATTTTGAACTTTATGCAGTGCCTTCTTTTCCTGGCATTAATCAGGAGGGTGAACAGTCAGATATTGAGAATAAGGATGATGATGTGGGAGTACTGCCAAAGTTGATTGAAAGAAGCTTTGATCATTTGATGTTGAAATTAGTGCCTTTAATGTACAGCCATCTAATGGTGATTCGTGGGTTTTACTTCACTTTATAACACTGTTCCTCCTCATGCATTTCTGAGTGCACGTTATTTTGTGTCTCAGGAAAATGTGGGTTTTTGCACATTTTTAGAATTGTGCTACTGTTTAGTTACTGTAATTTGAAAAATTGGTTCTATTTGCATTCATGTTGACAATTAATACGTTCATTTTACATAGAAATGTGTTTTATTGTGGCCAAAAAGCTACTTCACCATACTTAAAACATTGCTTTGAATAAATGTAATTCTGCCAGCAGTTGGCTTAACTTAAACATTCTAGTGGAAAACATTAACATGTATTTTTGAGTTGTCCCAATGTTTCATTTTTTAGAGTGTATCTGGCTCAACTGATAGATGTGGATGACAGTCTGTATATTAGTGTTCCTGTCCGACAGTTATCCTTTCCTTCCATTGTCTCCTGAAACAACAAGATCCAAGATCCAAGATCCAAGATCCGCTCCTCTTCGGTCCTGTGTGTTCTTACGAACCCCTGAACCAGCCGCCCCGGCAAGTCGAAAGCCAAAGTAACCAAAGTTTTTCACCACGGTGCGACTGTCGCGATGCAAGGAATGCCTTGGCAGTTACACACCATTTAATATGACACCCTACTGAAAAGAATGAGCATGAAAGCCATGAGGCATATTTTCCACAGCTATTTGCTCCGTAAACATGTTGTGCTTTCCCTTCAAGGCCACGTCAAAGAAGGTTTTACTTCCAACCCTCGGTCATACCAAACGTGCAGACTTTTAAGGAGCAATTGGGACAAATTAAGTTGTTGTAGTCTTGCCGCCGTGCGTTTTGGATGTTGTCACCCAAGGCCACTTTTTCAAAGTGGAATTCACTGACCAAGCACACACAGTGCATGACTAACGGCCGCGCTAGGAATAAACAAGTCAGGCATGACGGCCAACAGATTCGTGCTTTTTCTTCCTTCTGCACGTCTAGTTTGTAGTTTAGGATCTGAATCTGTTTTATCCAACATCGTAACATTCCACTTCCCCTGCACAGAGGGATCTATGTCCAGAGATCGACTCATGACTGCTGGCACACAATCATGTGAACTATTCCACACACAAATAAACAGGCAGCGACTGCCCAATGAAAATCCATTTATAACCCGGTCTTGGAGGGAGGACTGCACACAGTAAATTAGAACCAGAGGCAGAAACACGAGACATCAGAGCATCACCTCAACTATAACCCACATGCAACTTCAGCCGAGGAGAGAAAGAAGGATTTCTATATCTTCCTCACAAAAAAGAGTTACTTACCAAAAGTGAAGCACTCACTCAGGGTTAATGTGAATCAGACCACCTCAAGAAGGGCGGCGGAGGAGGGGAGGGGGGTTCTTCAGGGGACAGCTCTCCCGCAGAGGGTCAGACGGGTAGGACCCTGGCTGGCCGGCTCAGGGAGGTGTGCACGTCAACTGTTAGCCGGGCTCAGGACCGTAAAGCGCCTGGGAGCGTCTGCAGGGGAATCTGGCTCAGCCTCCTCCCTCCCTCCCTCCCTCCCCGCTGGGTCCGTCTGGGAAACATGAATCCCTAGTCACTGCCGCACGCTGGTACGCTCTGTTCCCGCCCCTCCTCATCCTCTCCCCCCCCCCCCCAGCCTTCCTTCCTCTCCTGCCACTCCCTCACTCCGCCATCCGCAGAGCCCCCCCGCTGCATCTGGCCGGGGGTCACTCCCCTCAGTGTGCATCCCTTCAGTCTCCCCCCTCCTCCTTTGGCTAATAGCTGATGCTGTGCAGGGTGTGTCTGTATCAGAACAGATAACAGCTAACACAATTCTTGGAAACAGGGTTGGGTTAGGGGGTCGGGGAGTCTGGGTTTAGGGGGGGGGGGGTAATTTGGTATGAGTCAGGGACGATAAGGGGCTGCACCAGAGGTGCTGGCCGAATGCCACGTGCTGCAGAGCACAGCCACGGTTGGGAGACGACTTCTTAGATGCAGTTTGGATTCATATTTCTTCCCTATACAAGCGCATTGATTGACTGTAGTAATAGTTTCAATGGCTGTGTGAATGTCAGATAGCAATTTAGACTTCACTTTGCCCACTCTCAAACTAGTCGTACCAGTGAACTCTGCCATTCCAAAAGGACTTGAGATACTCTTTCCTCAGAGGAACACAAAACGCACACACGCACTTAAGAGCTTTTCCAGCTGGATCGGATTTGCTCACAAACGCAAGGCTTGAGCGGAGGGGCTTCCGCGATGGATGTTCATTTTATTAGATAATGGAACCTATGGGGGGGGGACCACTGTCTGTTAATGTACAGTTGAAAGGAAAATGAAGGCCCATCAGTGTTGTGAGTGAGCACTCAGTGAGCGCAGGTGAGCCGCTGTTTCTTCTAACTGAAAAAAAATTACGAACCCAGTCTCCAAAACAACCACTTAGAAAAAGGGCTTTTCTTTGTGTGCACAGCATGGATAGAAACAATAACTGCTTAAACGTCATTAAAACAATTCATTAAACAATTGATTTTGCTCAGCGGCTATATTTCAACTATAGGCTCCAAAGAAAGAGACACAGCCAGTCAGAAGATTAAAAAAGTCTTATTTGAAATGCGAGAAGCAAAAATTCCTTGTTCCTACTTGAAGTGGAATGTTACAGAACGTTAGTGATGAACGGGGAAAAGCGAGAGCTGACCGAGATGCTGGTGTTAATAACCAATAGCAGCCTATCAATACATCAGAAGTGATATGCTGACAGACCTCCAGGTAAATGGTGAAATGCAGCAATCAACAATTTACAGGCTGCATTTTAACATACCAAGTTATCACTTTATCGTTTTCATAGTGAGGTATTTTATTAAACAGTAAAATATACTCTGACATATCTTTCGTTTTGCAAATCAATGTCAGAGACAAATACAAGCCAATATATCACTATTGGTTTTACATTTTACGCAAACATCTGTATGTATCAGTCAGGCTCTTAAAAAACAGATTTGTGGATGTGTGGAGGCGACATACTGGCAGAAGAAAAATAAAACAACAACTGGTGTGACCCAAACGCAAATCTTTCTCCATTATGTCCTTCCCTTCGTCTTACTGCCTCATTGGGCAAAAAATACAAAATCCACACCGTGACGAGAGTCCTTCTGTGTCAGCTGTAAACTACACGCGCGTGTCCTCGTCACTGCGGCGCCAGCGGGATGCCCCTGGCGTCGGTGACCTGCCCCTCCTGCAGGTTCTTCACCAGCTGTGCCAGCCAGCGCTTGGTGGTGGTGTCGTCCTTCAGCACCTGGGCGAAGGTGCTGTCCTTCAGCTGGTCCGGCAGGCACTGACGCAGGGCTTCTCTGGCTCTGGGGAACGAACACCACACATATCACAAGTCAACGTCTCGATACGAGAAGAGACAGCACCTGGTGTTGGACGTCTCACCACGGGAAGCAGCAGGTAAATCACATTTTACATGAAGCCTTTACTTCTCGAACTAGAGTGGATCACGACTGTATGTTTAGGTGTTGGATGATTATTCTCCTGCCTGTTACACCAATATACATGTTGGGTATGAACCCTCTTTTGCAATAAGATTGCCTGACATGCAGGGCTTGACATGAGCAGCCGCACATCTGCCAAAGGCGGGTAGAATTTGGCCGTGGCGGGGGAAGCAGTCACTCTCACCGGCCACTTCGGCGGGTGGAATTCTATATACATACATTCATCTTTTTATTGTCTCATAGTCCTTTTCAATGGCACTTCAGGGAGTTCAGCGCGGCCGGTTCAAGACGTGCTTGGAGATGAGGATCCGTTTATCAGCTCAGGGCTGTTGGGCAGACGGTCGGCCAGCAGAGATCCATGCGGACCTGCCTGCTTTGTTTTCTCAAACAACAGACTCATTGCAGGGTTCTCAAGCCTCACGTACGGTTTCCCCTCCCGGCCACCGTACACTTGTCTCTAAGCAGCATAGACGCGCGAACACACGCAAAAGGTGGAGGCTTGTGATAAAAGGTGTAGGAAAACACGAAAGCGCAACCACACAAAAGACAAAAACTGGTGATGTAAGACGTACGGGAGTGAAAGGTTCACAGTGGAAACAATAAAGGACTAGGAGATATTGTGGGACGTGAGCAAGAGCATTGCGACCAAGCGGAGGAAGACAACGACGTGTTGCGTTTAGGTCCATTGGTCCTCATGCAACGAGCTCCTTTTCTTTGTCTTTATCAGTTGCAGAGGTTTTCATACAAAAGGAGCTTCACAAACGTATAAGAGCAGGAGATTTGGCGACTGTACATACACACACACACACATTTTATGTAGTCTTGATTTGAATGTTTATAATGGGCATCTAAAAGTTGAAAGGATTGTAAATCTAGTTCTTCAAATAAATTGTAGCAAATCAACCCTTTCCCTACAACAAAGACGATGGCTAATGAAATTGCTGAGCTATTTGTACTATTTGAACTTTGGAATACTACTAGGCACAGTCGCCGGTGAGCAAAAATTCATTAATAGTATCTAAAAGGGATATTTGCTGTGATGGGCTTTATTTGACCTCTTAGGTCGATATACTAATGATCAGTAAACCTCAAAAAGACTAGTATGTATTATTTGGGGGGAAATATGAGCAGACATAAGCATAATTATGTTTTCATTAGTGTATAATCACCTGGAGCTAATTATGTGAGAGATTCTATTTGATTCTGCATATTACCGCGTTTCCTGTGAAAGCAGCGAGCTGGTGACCAACTTTTTACGGACATCGATAAGTGTTCCTTGCTGTTGTACTCTGAAGATTGAGGTTTCTCAGACCAGACTGTTTTATTAGGACTTAAACATTATCTGTAAACAACTGTAAGGCTGTAACTACAAATTATTTAAAGCAGATCATTATCTAATAAATAATTAGTGTATAAACATTAAGTGCAGAGCTGCCATGCCGTTGTACCAAGAACCACCTCACGCTGGAAGGCGCAATGGCTCCTCCAGGTGGCAAATACTGACAATTAAACGCTTCAGTCATATTCTCAGTCTGGTTGGTCTTTCCCCTACAATTCAATCCAGGGGGGGCACTGTAACTCCTGTAGTGAAATTGATATTAGGACATCCCTGTGAGCGAATTGAACCCATCTTACACAAATTACCAGTCAACGAAGAGCAAAGTCAAAAAATGTGACGACATACAATACGTTGCGTCAGTGAACGCGCCTCTACCTGAGATTGTCTGAGAGGCGAAGGTAGCAGCGGACAACGTGCTTCAACAGGCGAGCTGACGGTTCTTTAGAAAGCTGGAGCACCATTTTTCCCTGTAAGAAAAAACAAAATGAATGTGCCGTTGTGACCGTTGGGCCCAATGTCACAGAGAGCCTCAGAACGGTAATTTGATGTTTCTCAAAACACTTACAAGGATCATGGCTACGTGGGAGAAGCGCTCATACGTCTGACATATATAGGCCAGCCCTGTGTCATCCAACAAAATCTTCTGCAGTATGAAAGTAGCAACCTGCCAGACAAAGGGAAGTGAAGGATGGGGACATTTTAACTGACATTGCGACACATTAGGCACAGGAACAGTTATACATGCACACACACAAGGATAAATAAAAGCAGAGGTTTGGAAGAAAAAAGTGATCACATCGGTTATGTTTTTTTGTATAAGGAAAAAAAAGACACTACTAAAAAGTGTGACCGGGAAAACACAAATAAGTATTAATTGATTGCTGTAAAACAACATACAGGTCAGTTAGCAGTGTTAGAAAAGCAACTGGAACAGTTACGTACCGTCTTGGAGAGCTCACTCCCCGATTCCATGATGCGGAGACACAGAGGGATGATTTCAGTGGTGAGGAGGAAGTTAATCACTTCTTGTTCGTCGGTCTTGACGAGGGCACCTGCCGCCAACACAGAAAGACAGCTTGATTAACGCCGACACCAGATTAATGCAAAGAACCATCGTGCCAGAAATAAAAACGCATGAGCCAAGTTTACCGATGACTCCGAGGCTGGTGAGCCGCAGGTACTCAAACGGACGTGTTTTGCTCACAGTGTGCAGGAAGGGGTAAAGGAAAAGAGGGATGTGAGCAGCAAGGAAGGCCGATCTGGTGAAAGAAATAAAAGACATTTGAATAAACATGACCAAACTCTTATACAAAGTAATTAGCACTGTTTCCCCTAGCACTATAACTGGGCCCAGCCTGAAAAAATGCAGACACGTGCGCCAATAAGTCTGTGTATGCGCGCACGTTGCGCTCAAACCAGACTGACTACCCCTCACTTCCCCGTCCCTGGGCGGCAGACTACTACCACCCCCCGAAGTTGTAACTCTAACTTAAATAACTCTGAACAAAACACTTTTTTCCCCCCATTTGAAAAAAGATCCTATTACCTGGTCTCCGGGTGTGAGGCGACACACTGCAGTAGTGCCAGGGCATTGCACACTCGGTTAGACTGGTGAGCTGTAAGCGTAGGTGGGTTTATAGATGGATATATGTTCACTATTTCCTATTTAAGAGGAAGAAAGAAATCTGTTAAACATATCTCGTACAATAAGACAGCAGGTAGAGCAGATCAAATCATCCCAAACGGCACAGCGAGGGACGGGACGGGGGTCATACCTGCAACAGGGCCGCGATGGTGCCGCAGGAGTGCCACAGCATGGGAGCCAGGTCCGGCACCGACTCGCGCTTCTTGCTCAGCTCCAGCAAGGCATTTTCTCTGGTCTCCGGACTGGACAACTCATTGATCCACTGGTAGATCTTCTCCCGGTCTACCTGGGCCAGAGCTGTCACGTTAGTAACAGCCTGTAAAGGAAAGAGAGCACAGTGCACAAACGCATCAAGCATCACCGTGCAGGAAAGCTTAAGACAGGCACATCAACGTGAAGGTAATAAAATAGTAATAAAATAAAGTAAAAATAAAGTAAAATGAAATGCTAATGCAATGGGTTAGTAGATTATTCTACTAAGTAGATTATTCTACTAACCCATTGCATTAGCATTTCACTTTATTTTACTTTATTTTATTAATTGTGCACTGCTGTCTTGTCTGTCTACTGTCGCGCACTACCCGCCAAGACAAATTCCTTGTATGTTTGGCATATTTTGGTAATGAATGTTTCCTGATTCCTGAAGGTGGGAGAAAAGACGCAGGAGTTTGACTATCGGCCATTTGGCTAATCATAACAACGTAACCTATTTATCTCGATACGTCTGATGTTTGTGACAACTGGACAAAACGCAACCACAGAATTTATACACATATTCAACCATGTTATGAGAAATATATGTTTTATATACACATGTGGTACAAAGGACATCCACAAAATTCCCATTTGATATAACTGTGTAAAATGATAAAACTTCAATGAAAAGTTGGAATAGGATACTCCATATGTGTAACGTTAATACTGCCGGACATGCAGGAAAAGATTAGATGAAAGAGTTACAATCAAAGCTAAAGACGACGTTAAAAGAGATTGTAAAAAAGAAAGAAAGAAAGAAAAACGTGTGCTAATACGGTTGATACATTGATATTGGATACTCACTGCTCCCGTCGCCAGCATTCTCTGAAGCGCTTTGGGGGTCGCAAAGAGTTGTTAAAACTACTGTATCAGATGATGTGCGGTGCAGTAGCGAACTAATGTGGCTGCAACGGAACTAACTTGGCGAAACAAACACGCAAGCAACGACTGCTAGCCCGAGCTAGCTGCTAACGTTAGCGTTAAATGTCTTGTCAAATGGTATCCAGTAGTTACGCGCGATCCTCAACATCACAAAAAACATAACTTCCCGACAATATTAAACTAACAACGCGTTAATATTTTCCGTATCGAGAGCGGGCTCGATAAATTGAAGTCTACTCATCAAATAACATTATCCAGAGGGTAGTTTTTGTTGGCAATGGAGGCAAGCCAACCAACCTAAATACAAGTCGACAAGATATCGCGAGAGTATCGGAGTCGTTCTCGGGGACCATTTCCGTTGTCAATTTTCACATTCCCGCCATCATCGCGCAGTGTTGCGGAGCGTCGTGCGCGGGTCACTGTCAACAACATACGTATTGGGGAGCAGGTGAATGCCGGCAAAACAAACTTTGCGCCCTCGCCGGACCCACGAAGACGTTGCCGTGATTCAAAAGTTTCAAGACGACCACGTATCACCGATAGGTAAAGATCTATGACGCTTTAATCAAACTGTGAGAGTGTTTTCATCACCAAATTACAACCAGGCAAATTAGCCCGCTAGCTAGTTCCCGCTAGCATTCTAGCCGACTTGCTAATGTCGGCCTCCCCTCCATTCAGCGTTTGTAGATGAAGGGACGACATCTATATCCTACGTTATTCGCCCCGAGCCGGTTCTTTTTTGTGACCGTTTATCTTTTCGTTTCCTAAACTAACGTTAAGCAAGGGGCGCTGCTCGCTCGGTGTCGCGCATTCTCGGTCATTTTCGCTGCCGCGGTTCTGAATGGCCATTTGGTTAGTTTGATGGCTAATGCAGTCCGGTGCTACGTTGACTCGTATCGTAACTGCTAGCCAGCTAGCAGAAGTGTCGTGAGTTCCTGGGAGTGTGCCGTCCACTCTAAAGTGTGCCGTGTAACTGTTGTGCTAACGAATGCTGCATGCGGAGTTTGTTGTGACTTTAAACCAGCCCTCAGTAGTAAAACGTTGTGCCGTAGCAGCTTGGTTTAACTGCGTTATTAACGTTTGTCATCTTCTGGGTGACACACATATTGCAAAATGTTTTTGGTGGGGTTTTTTTTTAAGCCGTGCAATGTACCGTAAATGTTCGTGTTCATTTGTAATTCGCATTGTTTATCATTGAGCTGACTCTTGCCACTGTGAAGCAATGGTAAATCCGTGGCACTGATGACATGACAGCTAATCTCTTAAAAGCAATCACAGACGGTGGGCTCTAAATGACGCACTGTGTTGTAATCACATTGATTATTTCATTTATTTCTTGTATAGGGTTTGTTTGATCACAGGTCCCAGCCTCCAAAGTGCACCAACTGCACAGTAAGCCATGTCAACCATAGTGCCCAAGCTCTCCAGCGGCGGCGCTGTAAAGATCCGCTTAGAGAACTCTGATGTCGGCGCCACCAGATGGAGAGAGGGAACTTATGAGATTCTGGAAAAGGAGAACAAAGTCAACCTCTATATAAGATTCACCTGTGGCAGAGCCTCCAAAACCTTTCAGGTATTGTTCAGTTTGTGCATATTCAAAAACTGGTGCAACTGTGGAAACTGCAGTGCATTTGTTGCACTTTTCATTGTGACATTTTGAGATCCAGCACTTGAATATTTTCAAGAGCACAAGGAACATCTTCTCATCTGTAAAAATGTCATGAAAGCAGTTGTGAATGTTTCAGTAGGTATGGATGCAAGGTGTTTGATGGTCGTTTGTTACTAAGATAAGCCGCCATGACAAGGGGTTGTGAGCATTAATGACGTAAAATATAAATAAATGAAATGTATTAACTTACATAAATTATTTATAGAAAACTAAATAAGTAAAACCATAATCCAAAAAATGTATCTATATTCAGGGTTTGTCCTGAGCACTGCTGAAACATTTTCACAACAGCTAAGGGGTGACTGGTAAATTGAAGTCAATGCTGTTGGTTGCGCTGAAATGCTGTTGGATTTGGTGTTTTTTGTTTGCGTTAGAAAAACTAATCTAGTATTATTTTTTGGCCCTCAGCTAAACCAGAACTTGAAGACTGTGACTCAGAATTTGAGCCGACTCCACCTGACTTTGAAGGACAGGAATGTCATCATCTTCGACAAGATGCCTCCGACTTTGCTTCAGAAGACTAAAGAATACCTGGAAAGACTGAAACTGGGAAAGCCAAGTAATTATACCACTGCTCATTTTGAGAACTTCCAAAGCTTTGTGGAGGGTTCCCAGCTTGATGGAAACCAAATTAAATTAATATCTATTCATCATATTGACAACCAGGGTTTCTAATTTAGCAGGGTTCCGCTTTGCTAGAGTTAGTTACTTATATTTCAATGAACACTTTTCTTTTCGTCAATTATTATTGTTTTTTTCAGTTGACATATTCTGAGTTAATTAAAGAATGGTCAAATCAGACCATACATGAAACTTCTGTTGCATCTGATTCAAATTCACATTTGTGAATTTTCTGATGAAAGTTATCCTGATACTGCATAGCGGCATTCTATTTAAAAAAAAGTTGTCTCTTCCAAGAAGATAACACCAGAACGTTGAACCTCTCTCTGATGATCTGGCACCAATTCCATAAAAAACAAGCCGTTTTGTTATTTATATCGAAAAAGGAGTCCTGACCTCAATTGAGCGACGTCAATTATTTTAAATATCTGGTTGCAAATATTTAATCAAATACCAGGAAAACGTTACAGCATATCAAGTACTTTTTTCTATTTATTAATATAAAGTAGGAAAACAAATAATTAATTTTTTCAATACTCTCCCTGATGTTTTAGGTAATTGCTGTGGTCTCATTTAAACATTGCCATTGATTAATTGTATTAAAGTCCCAATTGTGGCACCACTCTGGCAACATAGAAACAAAAAAGCCAATTGACTGAAAACATCCAAATTCAACCTGTATCTCAATAAAAAAGCCGTTTTTTGGGGGGGCGGGATTCACACAGACTTAAACTTCAAAGAACAACTTGTCGTAATTCCTTTTTTATTCACCTGCAGTTCTAAAATCATCCTATGGAAGTGCAAACTTCAGTGTGCTCTTCAACCGTTCTGCGAAAAATGAGACCAGTCCCTCAGCAGAGAGACAGGTAAACAAGAAAACCTCAGGTTTTTAACTTTAAATATAGAGAAGTGTTCACTCCCGTTTGACTGAAATCTCTACGGCGTCTTACAGACCACACAGAGGCGGCAGAGTGCAGAAGTTCGAGAGGAAACGCCTCGAAAACCCCTGGGCAGCCCGAGTAGAGCGGCCTCTACTCCCACTCGCACAGGCCTCTCAGAGAACAGGTACGATGGAAATTGATGTAGCTGTTGATATGCAAATTATGTCAATTGGATGAGGCGGTGAAGCTTGGCATCTTTACAGTGGAGCTCATCTACTGATTACAGGCCCTTTGCCGGTATTCCATGTGGCCGTCTTCCTGTATGTCACCGTTGTCCTAACAAAGAACTCTGACCCGTCATTATTTAAGTCCAGTTTAGAAGTGGTCAATTAAGCCCTGGAACATGAATTGTTCTATGTCACTGTTTTTCAGGAGCGAGAAAAGAAAGAGACTCCTGAATTCGGAAAGTGACCTGACTGAGGATTACCCGAAGGAAAATGACTCTTCAAGGTAAAAGCAGCACGTGTCCCTGCTCAGACTGGGCTTTAGTGGTCGTCGTATGCACATGGAAGGGCCTGAAACCTTTTGTCAGACTCTGTAAATGGGTTTTTGGTATTTCTTTCCCTTCATCTGGTAAACACAACTAAACCACAATGTTTCATTTCCATGTATAGCGGTTTTCATTGGATAGGTAGAATTTTTGTAGATCGTAGAAGTCATCTGAAATGTTTTTACGTTTAACTACAGTCCATTAACATCCCCAAATCTCTGTCCTTGTCCTTAGCAACAACAAGGCCACTTCAGATCCATCCCGGAAGTTTCTACTAAGTTGCAAAGATAAGCTGAAGCAGGCAGAAGAAAACAGGACCCCGGGTAAACGTCCACGACTCGGCAGCAACACCATTTATATGTTGCTGCCTGTGTATTGCTTGTATTTACCTCACTACAAACTTGTACAAATTGTTTCCACCTTGGTAACCAGGCATCAGCTTTTGCTTGCCGACACTGCAATCACGCCAGTTGCCATTTTTAAAAACCATTAAGATGCTCAACCCATTTTACTGTAAACAAATTTGTGTAGAATTTCTAAAATGAGAAGAATTGACCTGTGTAGCCAGACCATAAATTGACTTTATGCTTTACTTGCCCGTAGGTCCACTGGGTTCATCTCCCCTTCAGCCAACGTCGTTCTACGGGAGCCGATCTGTGACTAAGGACTACAGCCACAGCCACTCTTTCCTGGACAGGTGAGTTTCCATAGTGGTCGGCTAAACCCCCCCCAGAAAACATCTACTTCTACATACACATTCTCGTGTGTTATCCCAGTGAACGATAGTGTTACACAAATGAACATTAATTGAATGGATGTACACTGAAGCTATTGTGTTTGTCAAAATGAAATCCAATACATTTAATTTGTACAAGTTGCAGCATCAAATCTCTTGTGATTAACATTTGCCTAACCTTTACTAACCACCTCAGGCCATCCAGTACAGCTCAGATTAGTGCAGCCAAGAGAAGCCTCACGCTGCCCAATCACTCCACTCCCTTCAAGAAGGTACGCACCTCTCTGGACTACGGTGGCTGGAACAAGCAGCGGCCCTCCACTCTGGCTCAGCCTCAGCCCCCACTGCAAGGGTAAGAATTTGTGAGCCTGAGCGGACTGTAGGTGTCTGAAACCCAATTGTTGCCCAGAGAATATCAAGAAGAGAAATGTCTCTCATTGGTCCTCTTTTCTTTAAAGATTTAAAACAGACATTTTCAGAATACCATGACAGCAATATCTCCGTAAGCCCTGGAAGGAGTTGTTTGAGATCTGAAATCCAAGGCCATAAATCTTTAGGGTGTTTTTCACCCTTTGTGTATTTACCGTCATTCGTGTATCACAGGTTTTCCAACCTGGGCAACACTTGCTACATGAACGCCATCCTGCAGTCCCTCTTCAGCCTCCCTTCCTTCTCCAGCGACATGCTGAGGCAGAGCATCCCATGGAAGAAGCTGCCCATCAATGCGTTGCTGAGGTACTGCGCTAGTCTGTAGACACACAAGTTGGATCTGTGCTTTCGGCTTGTTAAAGGGTCTTCACCACGTTCTGTTTAACAATTTGTTCATTTGTGTAGT